CAGTACCCGCAAGAATGCGCACCACAAGCAGCCAGTCGTAAAATTTTCGGCCCGCACTAGCTCCGCTTGCAGGCTGTATGTAATATGGAAAATGGGCCGCGCCCATGACACAAGCTACCAGCTCACCTCCATTGCGATCTGGCGACTGCAGATAGTACAAAACAAGGCAAGTGGACCGCAGGCTCTACCCGGGCCTGATTGACCGAGCGAGAGACCGGACCCGAGCACAGCCTCACCAACTGACGTCATCGCATCAGCCGAGTCGGTGTGCAGCTGGTTCGCACCAGGCAGCGAGGTGTCCGCGCCTGCACGCTCGGGGCGGAACTCACGTGTGCTGCTGTCCAGCTCCATTCGCTGGTCACGCACATCAGCGCGGCGCCGCAATATAGCTTCTGGGAGCGTGCACGCAGCACTTCCAGCATACGTCCTTCTAACTCTTCGATCAGCGCCATCTGTTGATAGACGGCGGAGTCAGCGACGCAGAGCAGCGAATGACGCGGGCGGCTCAGCTGGCTCCCTGGCGTTGAAGGATGTCCCGAGGTCAGGTGTTTGGCGCTAATCACTGCCGAACAGGGCATCGGACCGCCCAACACGCTGCAAAACTGAACACAGCTTCAACAAGAAGTCATGTGCAATTGTCGCCATGGCATCAAACATACATCCCATTGGTGTCCCTAACAACGCCGCCTCGCTTCCGTCTCGCATCGTTCCAGAGGACACGCGGGCATCGGCTGTCCTGTCCCGCGAGAGGAGAGCGGGCCCTCCTCGTCTCTGGGGTCCGTTCCACAAGGGACGAGGGCATGGGCTGTCCTGCCTCAAGAGAGAATGTACAGGGAGCCCCGCCTCGTCTCCGGGGCCCGCTCCAGAGGGGACGAGAAAAAGCCATGACTGTCACGAGAAAAAGCCACGAGACAAGGTGCTGGCTCTGACGTGTTACGATCTGACCATTCGTAGATAAGCTAATAAAGCACCGCCCGTCCGCACCGTGTACCCAGAAGTAATTAAAACCGTTTCCACATCATGACGGCTAAAGCATACCCACAACCCCGGACACACGAAAGCATGCCGTCAGGCATGCTTTCGTGTTGTCCGGGACCAATCCCCAAACTGCTACGTGGACCCAATCCCCAAACGATATGAAAGTGGCATCCAAACAAGTGTAGCCGCCCCTTCGAACAGCTCGCTGGAACAATCCTGTAAATTGGTTAGTGTACCGGCGCACATGGAAATGCCGGGCCCGCTGGAAACCGAAGTGACATCAGTGGGAACTAGCCACACACGTTTGAGTTTGCAAGTTACGGGGCGGGGCCATATTTCGCCTGCATCCCGCGCCAGCAGAGGCAGTGGCGCGAAGCCCCGACGCAAACGAGTCCTCTGCATAAAGCTCTGCAGCGGCGTGCAGTTTATGGCTCTTCCGGGTGACTAGCACAATTCGCCTGATACTGAGCCCTGGTGTCAATATAGCGTGGTCCATTCCCCCGATCCGGACGATGTGGGAGCCTGCGCAAGCGTCCACAGTCTGACAGGACAGTCTGGACAGGCGTCAAACACCTGCCCGCTGATTGTTCGCATATACTGCCGGGCCAACGAAGAAAACGGACGATACACTGGGCTCAATAGGTTTAGCAATGTACAACCGATGTAGTAGGAAAAACAACGGCGCAATTTGAGACACGTGATGCAAACTGCATGTGACAGCTTCAAGCGGGCTTGACAGTCACGCCACTTTCAGAGCGACAGTCGTCATTGTTTGGGTCACAATGACTTGGTATTTGGGAATGGCTTCAAAACGTAACAGGCAACAGGTATTCCTTCTCCGGAACGGTAACCGTGCGCACAGTTCCATCTGGGGAGCGGGGTGGGGTGCAACGGTCCTCTCCACACCGCGAATCACTACCCCATAGCCGACAAGTCGTGGCCACAGATTGCACAATTACATTTAGTTTGCGAGTGAACAGTACAGTTCAAGACGTTATATGTGCCACTGATCCAAGATTCGAATCTATGTGATACATACACGATATTTTCTAAGGAGAATGCTCTTGGTAGTTGCCTATGTTGCGGTAACAAAGAGGTGAAATTAAGTAGTTTCCGTAAGCTTTTGACACGGAAACCTCTCCACGGCAGTGACGGAACGGAGAAAGCTGGGCAAGAAACCCACGCGACATCAACATCCGCTGGAAGCCGACACCGAACACCAGACTCGTTCACATAACGTGACTGAACCCCACCCGACCAAAAAAAGGATCTGAAAATACATACCTTTCGTCAAAGCACTCTATCAGATCTGTGACATACCCACGGATATCTTGGTAGTACTGGTATCTTCGGAAGGCGCGGGGCGCCTCGCGCTCCAGCCGGTCAATCTCCGACTGGCCCGACACGAGGTCGTCCAGCGCCCGGTCACGCGCCGCACACGTGACCGGACTGGGCCAGCCGCAGCTCCCCAGCCTGGCGCGTCAGGTCACGGGTCAGACACCGCACCAGCACGGCTTGCCGCCGCAGCTGTCGCCCAGCGGCCTGGGACTACGTCACGCCACGCCCGCCAGCGCGGACGCGCAGCCACGGGCCGCTGGAGTCAACACATTCCCGCCACTTCGAAGCCAACCGGGCAGCGCACAACACACACGTGTGGCACCGTACATTTTACTGGGATGCCCGTCAACACACGGCCACGGCAGGGACGAGGACATCCGGCCAGCACAGTGCGGCGGGTGACGTGTGGCGGCGCGGGGGCAGGCGTGTCCGGCGGGCGCGGCGGCTCCTGCCCTCCGGCCCGGCCCCTCACACCGTACTTTTGCTGGAGACGCTGCCTCACGGCGTGCGGCGTCAGCTCGGCCAGCGGGCCGGCGCTGGCGGCGGCCCCAGCGGGTCAGCCAGCCGCGTCGCCGCGCCGCCCGGCTCGTCCGCCTCCCCGGTCGGCAGCAGGTAGTGCTCGGCCGTCACCGACGCCAGCTGTAGACGGCGCGCCAGTCAGAGAGCAGCTGCGCAGCGGGCGCACTGCATGCGGCGGCCCGACGCCCGCACGCAGCGGCGGCCACGGACCCACTGCACGCCGCGGCCCGACGGCCGCAGGCGGCAGCCGCCACGGACCCGCATTACTCGCCAGCGTGTAAGTTAGTGTACGCTGCGAAGGTGCTGGTGCTGCGGCAACTGCACACAGCGTTCGGTGCGCCGCTACCAGTGTTCGCTGGCAGCACTCTTAATCTCTCGAGACTTTGGATCTATAGAGCAATGCACATGAAAATAAGCACGTTCCAAAGACACATCATTCTGTGAACATGTAGTTCGGCACAGCAAAGCAAGACTGCAAGCCTGTCCAATAAAGCCGAAAAACCATTTCGACTTTGGGCTATTGAGCAGGCTAAGCCAATATGCATTATTTACTGGACCCAGTCCCATACTCCTTAAGATCGACTGAAAATGAATGTCTCAAATCGGAAATGCTCCCACTGGCAAAGATGCTCCAGAATCCCGTGTAAGACGGCCGGCCGCCGACGCCGGTGCGTACCTGCGGTCCGGAGAAGGCCTTCTTGATCTGCTGGTTCTCCCAGCGGGCGAGCTCTTTGTCGTCACCGTCCGACGCATGCTCGTCCTCTGCAGCACACCAGCCGGCCTCAGCGCCCCAGCTTCCCATCGATACACCGCGCCGGCCCCGCCGACAGACACGTCCACAGTGCCGCTCTGGCAGGCAGCTCGGCCCAGCCAGACCGAATCATGCAGACAGCACACGCAGCAGTGTCGGAAAACTGGAGAGCGTATAAGCCCGGTGCGTAGCCACCCTTAATTTTGGAGGGTGTTTAAGCCCGGTGCGTAACCACCTGCCGTTTTGGAGGGTGGTTACCTCGCACAGCCTGTCATAAATTGCAAACCCATATCCATGCACCGCTGTTTCATACTACAGAGTCTGGGACCGTGTTGCTTCAATGTGCTGTGTTTAATACCGATGTTTCCTTTCATTTTAAGTGCTTTTACATGAATTGCTGTACATGAAAAGTGGCGCTTTTGTTGAGTACACCCCATTGTACTGTTCACACGCACACGCACACGGACACACACACACATACACACACCACACACACACACACGCACGCACGCACGCACGCACGCACGCACGCACGCACGCACGCACGCACGCACGCACGCACGCACGCACGCACGCACACACACACACACACACACACACACACATCCGCCTGCTGGAGACGAGTCACATTATGAGGCGCGGCCTCACAGCTCGACCCGGCCCGGCGCATGAGCGCCGCCAGCTCCGCCGGAGTCCGCGTTTCCAGCGAGTCCCGGCACGCTAGGTAGCACTGCCGGGGCGCAGGGAACACACGGCCGAGCCCCGGTCCTGGCCGGACCCACGCGTGCCCCGACACTGAGGCACCCGCGGTCGCAGCCTCAGCACGGACCTTGATCCCTGGCGGCGTGTGAACTGGTCGCGGCGGGCCTCGCGGTCTCGCGCCGCCGTACTGACGGTGAAGGTGACCCGGTCGTCATCGGGCCCGCTGTCGTCGTCCTCCTGATGGGCTGGTCGGCCGCCGGCCCCCGACCTGACGGCGGGACCCCCCGGTCACCAGGTGTGCACGCGACGCCACACAGCGTAGCAAGCACGTCAGGTGTCGTCGACAGAGGAACTCAACTGAACCCAACAACGAAAAGCAACGTTGAAAACGCATCATCCTTTGGAGTCAGAATCAGTTGGAAAGCGAATAAATCGACCACGCACAGCGCTCTATCCTATGTCCTGTTGATCTCCTCGACAATCCACGAGTCAGCATGTCAACATACACGGCTCAGCAGTATCCCAGTCCATGTGTGCCGGTGCCGCGCCGCTCCGGGCCGGCGACGTCACTCACCCGGCACCGTCTTGACTGAGCGGCACGAAGTTGGGGGCGGCCTCCTGCTGGCGCCGCGCCTGCTCGCGCCGCTTACGCACGGCGTGGATCGTAGCCGCGTCCGGGATGGCACCGTCTGCACGCGCACATGTGCACCGGTTACCAGCCAGCACGCGCACGCACACGCACCCCTGTTATCCCCTGAAGGGCAGTTATCCACTGACAAATGCATAGCGCATGACGGCTTCACGAGTAAAACGCATACGGCTCTCAGACAACCGTAACTGGTGCGGCTCGCCAGCCGCTGTCGGCTGGCGAGCCGGCGGGGTCGGGCCGCCGCCGCCGGCAGCTCCCACCTTTCAGCACGTTGTCGAGCGAGGCACGCGGCCGTGAAGCGGTGCAGGGGGCGGCGGCCGGCCGGCTTCTCGTCCTCGTCCGAGCTGTGGTAGCCGGCCATCTCAGCGGCGCGGCCGCTCAGCACGGCGGGCCGCGGCGCCGACTCGGCCGGCTCAGCAGCGTTCGGCACGGCCGGCGGCGACACGGGCTCCAGCTGCCGGCCGCGCGCAGTACCGTCATCGGACCGCAGGACGGCGGCAGGGCACACCAGCAGGGGTGGGGGGGGGGGGGGGTCACACTGTCGGCGTGCTGCCAGTAAGGCACAGGGGCACGGACGGCCGCGCTGCGGACAACGCTCAGAGCGTCGGCCAATGCTGGACGTCGAATCATGAAGGCCACGCTGGCCGATGCACACTAGAATAATCCGCGACACATAGCATTGCAACCCCTATATACCCTCTTGAAAACGAGCTGCATCGCAAGGGCCCCTTAGGTCACTTTTTAAGCCTGAACACTATGACATATTTGCTTGTTACATCACAAGAAGGCCAGTATGTTTCCGTATGGCAAAGATTTTGGACATGCCTTTATATCTGCTTCATTTCCATTGCTAGCTTCTTTCTCCAGCATTTCTCTCCTTCGCTTCTCCTTCTCAATTTGTTTTGCAAGCCTTCTGCTCTGGCTCGACTTTTTCACTTGAAACACCTCTCCTTCTTCCTCTGGAAACCGACCACTGTCTTACAAATCACGCAATAAATGTGAGTGCCAGCCCCATTGCATCCAAAAAGTGCATCCAGCACATAACAGCAGGTTATTGAAGACATGTTGCATATGGAAATCTTCATGTAAAGACACAAATGACAATTAATCATCACACACATTGAGCTGTCATGAAACCCTTGGGCTCCCACACGACCGATGCAGCCGCCTTGTTTATCCAAGAAAGACGCCAGAAAAAAACGTAATGTGGTCTTACCTTCATCCATAAAACTTACAACTGCTGTTTCTCTTTTCTTCTTTTTCTTCTTCTCCAATTTAGTATCCATACTGTTCTCTTTTGAGTCTCCAATCCCATCCATGCCGTCATCATTATCTGCTTTAGTTGTGGTTTCTAATGCCTCATTGCTTGCCTCATTCTCTTCATCACTATAATCGACAACCACTCGCTGGCGTATATTCTTCTTGGGCTTCTTAAATAGGGACATTGTGTCTGCAAAAGAAGTGAAGACATCTATGATGTTCTACTTTGTGTGGCAAACCTGTGTGGCAAATTGCACTGGTTGAACATCTGTCCATGCAAGGCACCATATGTGTAAAAATCTCAAATTGTGTTTGGATATGTTGTTAAGAAGGAGAACATTTAGTATGGGTGGTTGTAGCATGGCAGTAAACAGCAGGCTTTGGTTTCAGTAGTAAGAACTGCCTTACAAGGGACATACAGTCAAATGCTTCAGGCTCCTGCAATCCATGGATTAGAAAACTCCAATTTGCAGTCTAAAGCACTGCCAATAATTTTTGTACTGTTCAAATGTACCAGCTCAGAGGTGAAATTAGGGAGAGGGGGTGGCAAGGCAGCATAGCTCCCTCACTGCTTGTGGTGGAAAGGACAGCAATGGTCTCTGTCCCCTTCTCTCTGCCCCACCCCCCTCCCTTTCTGAGCATCTTGTGAACAAAAATTGTGCATCAAAATGCACTAGGTCACATTCTGGGACACTGGATGTTCCAAGCAAAACTGACCATTTAAACCCTCATTTGGCTTAAGCCCCCTTTAAGCACTTTGGGGGGGGGGGGGGGCTTTGACCATTTTGACCTGATGTTTCCATGCTTTCTGGGCCAATCAAACAATGCATACTGATAATTACATTTACTAAATACTGGATGGTGTTGTCTAGAGCAGCCTTTTGCACTGGAAAGCATGCCAATGGTTACAAGTGGATGTCGTGAGTACAAGTGTGATCATTCACTTTAAGAACATATTGTCTGACAACATTCAGATAGAGAAGGAAAATACCTACTTTATATTTTTTGATGGAAAGTAAATGTGTATTGTGAATTTATATATATATATATATAGAAATAAATTCAGTCAGATATATACATATATATATATATATATATATATATATATATTGTGCATGTGCGTGTGCATGTGCGTGTGCATGTGCGTGTGCGTGTGTGTAAAGCTTGTCTTCATGTCAAAATATATAAGTTCCTAAAACTCATATGTACTATAAATACATATGTGAAGGTGGTCTGCAAAAAAATAATTCACCATACTCAACACTTACACAACATTAGTGCACTGAACCCTACGTCAGTGTGTGCTAAACATGTGCCATGTGAAACTGAGCCAAATTTGTATACAATTTGTTTTCCCCAACAAATGTTTTGGGAGCATTTTGTGTGCCATTGCCTTTGATGCATCATAATCTGTTGGAGCAATGATTTTATGGACTGAAATTGGTGCCAACTTGTTGAGCACTCAGATTAACTATTTCTATATGGCAATGAAATGGTTGCTGAATTGTTGGGGAAATAGCATAGCTACACCACACATCATTGGTGCAACATGCATTTTTTGAAGCCTGAATGTCATGAAACACACCAAAATTGAGAAAACTAAAGTCTAAAGATTCCCATCTTGTGCGCACATACAGCAGAGGTCTCAGAGACATAGCCCTCAACAAGGTTTAATCCCAAGACATATAACTTCATTCAATCATAGGTATCAATGACACAATGACTATCAATGTTATTGCATGGGTTGAAAGCATATTGCATGGTACCCCTGCAACACCATTTTCTTTTGGGCAGATTAAGGCGTGTCACAAATATGCTTCTCCCATATCTAAAACACAGTATGTTTCACCATGCAAAAAGGTATCACATGACTACAGTATCACAAGGCATTAATAGGAAATGTACATGAGATATTAGAATATGTGACTGTCTATATAAAACACATTATCTGCACCGCATCATTGGACACTTGAAAATGAAGCAATCACAATTCCAAACCTGTGATAGCATCCAGAGTCAATGCCGTGACCAAGCATAACACTGGCAGGCTCAGTTGATGGTGCTGCTGGAAGGATCCATCTGACATAAAATGAACTTTTGCAGGCTGGCAATTCATGACAGTTGCAAAGCATGGTGCTGATTATTGATTTATTTAAGTCTGCTGAGCATGTGATGGGACCCTGCCCTATTGTGTTCATCCCATTTTGGGGTTGAGTTTGGTTAGCTTATATGAAATCCAAGGAAAATACACAACCCTCAGGCTACCTGGGTGCTATACCCATACTCTCAGAGAATGCTTGCACTTAAAGCACTGGACATAAGGTCGCTGAGATGGCACCTGTGAAGTGGATGTGTGACATGTGCAAATATCCTTTTGCTATAATCATCATGCAACATTTGGGGAAAATCAGGCATTGCATGTTGGGTGAGGCAGAGTACAGATCATAGCGATGTTGTTAATAATCATCCCTGATTTAACTTGCGGGTTTATGCTTTATCATAACAGTGTGGAATCATAAATTTTAAAGCAATATCTCTTGTAAAAATAACTTTCAGATATTCCGTTTAATAATGTTCCTCCCATCATATGCCGTGGTCGCTGTGGAATGGAGAACATTCAGTACGGGCCCCGTCCTATGGGAACCCAATTTTGAAGTGAGATACATACAAGGCAACACATACGGTGTCACATAGTGCAAAGCATACACTCCAGCCAAAACATTTTCGAAACAATTTAAGACCTGCGCAATACAAACCTGCCCTGCTACCTATACCAGGCCGCCGCGCTCATGCGTCCGGCGAACAACGGCTGCTCAGCGGCGGTGGCGCAGGTATGGTAGCAAAGATGGCAGCCAGTGATACGGCAGCGGTTTTGACGGAAATTATTCGTGCCCTTGATTAGTGCGAGCAAAACCTGGGTTTGGTACGACCCGGGGAGTGGGGGGGGGGGGGGGGGGCGTCCAATGGCTAGTGTAAAATATGACAGCAACGGCGCACATTGCACAACTAGCCTTAGGGGTCTCATGTTAAAATGCCCTTCTTCAGGCTCACGGTTTTTAAATGTTGAACATATATATGCATACAAAGTTCATACAAATAAAGCTTGAACAATTTTCTTTCGGTTTCCGAGGTCAAAAGTGTGCGCCATGGCGCTCGTTTTCGAGCTATAAGGCGAAAGGCAGACCCATGCACGCGCTGCGATGCCCATACGTGGGATCGAATCGCGTCACCGCCAATGCTTTTTCCATTGAGTGGAGTTAATAAACACACGGAATATGGACGATGACTGCGATATACTGAAATGTTTGGATCTCTTCTGACATTTTTATAACTATGTATATATATACTTTTTATTTATTTTCATATTTATAAACCGACGGGACAGAAAACAACTATCACCAGGAACATTAAAGGCTCGAGTGACGCAACTGACAGCGTGCTCAACAAGGTTTTTCCTTATGCTTAGAAGTGATATCAATACATCATCACAATGCCAGTGCCGCTTCATGAACACACAAACAGCACACGATACAACAATCAGCAAACCAGCAGACACAAACGAAAGAGGTACCTGCACGGAACACTGCGTGCCGGCCGTAAGGCTCTGCTCACTGGCGGACATAAAGGCGGAGCCAGGCACAAAGCTAGGTGGGGGACACCCCAGCACTCCCTGAGCCCAATGCCGGCGCTTCCTCGCCGCCCTCTTTGCCAGAGACTCGGCCCGTCTGACCTCATGAACCGTCCGCATCCGTATAAATGTCCGTATCCGGGCAAAGGCTTTCAGCGCAGCAGGAGGCGTGGTGGGGAATTTTGACTGCAGAACAGCTAGAAATTCGGCGACCACCTTCGGCCTTCTGCTCAGCTGATGCGGCTCCATGGCGTTGTGCAGGCAGAACGCCTCCTCCATCCGGCGAAAATCCTCGTAGGATGTCTGTGTAGGCACCGTGAGGCCACCCAGACTGCGTAGCCTTAGCCACAGAGACTGGCTCTGGCCCTTCTTCCGCCTGGGAAGACGGAGCGCCCAGGGATTGGTCCGCCGCCTTGTGCGCAACGAACCCACACACGAACGCCATGGCGTTGTCAGTGGCAGGCGCACCGGTTCCCTTGTCAGCGGCTCCCGACGTGGGGGTTGTCAAGCCGTCCGTCGTCGGTCTAGTGTCCTGATACTTTTGGAGAAGAGCCCGCATGTCTTCTACGCCCTGGTGATGTTCCGGCTTTCCGTCTCTGTCGTCCCAGCTGTGCGTCTCGTCGTGGCAGACAGGTGACGTACCGAACTGGCGCATCTCCTCGGCCATCTCCGGCGGCATGTCTTCTCTGGCCGCCTCGCGGAGCTCCCCGAGCTGGTCTGCTTCGTCAGGCACAGCCTCTGGCTCGGCGTCGATGGGGTGCGCCATGCTTCCCGGCTTGGCCAGCAGGCTGACACCAATGTTGAGTCCGAAGAGGAGTGCCAGGTGGCGCATGTTGGCGATGGCGTCCACAGAGTTGTGGTTGGAGTTGGTGCCACTCCTTTCACGCACCATGCCGAAGAACCCCTCTAATCGGTCTTGGATCCGGCGCCGGGTAGGTAGGTAGGTGTCGACCCCGAATAGCGCGCGCATATCGCCTAGCAGGCCGCGAACAGACCGAATGGTCACCACCAGGCCCTTTTGAAAGGGGTACACGACGCTCGCCGACTCAAAACGCCTGGCCAGCAGCTCCTGGACAGCTGTGTCCAGCACCGCCTCCTGTTCCGCGGTAGTCTTGTAGCCTTTGCGCAGTGGCTTGTTGTCTCCAAGATGGATGCTGTTCAGCACGTCGCAGGTCGCGTCAAATAGCCGAGCAACGCAGGCCTCTTCCTGGGAACCGTGGAAGTAACGCTCTAGACAGGTAGCCATGGTGCTGTTAACTTGCTGCAAAGCCGGCTGCATATTCTGTTGCGACATTCCCGATACCTGCAGCAGAGTATAATATATTTATAATAAAAAGCAACCTACTTATGAAAAAGACGACCAAATCCGGCGAAATATTGACCGCTTTATTAGCGTAGTGCTAGCGACAAACCAATGCGTACGAGGCTTGGCTTGGGGTTTAAGTGCAAACCAACTGAAGAACCGAAAAAGTGGCACTTGGTGAGCTCTTCTCATGTTCAGGCAACATGTTTAAAAGATAGAAGTCTTACTGCAGTTTTTATAAAGAACGCGCTGCCGAGTCTGTCATTAGGGTACCGACAATCACGAGTTAAAAACATTCTGTTGATTAAGATTCCACAAGAAACCCAGATCGTGGCCAGTTCTTAGCATATAAATACATATCCACCAGATGTATTTACACATATCTGTGCTTTCCGTGATTCAAAGGACACCGAGTCCAATAATATATACACGCACGAGTCCCATTGGTCTTGATATATGACCACAGCATCTGCGCCTCACCTCCACATCTCTGCTGATGTTCAAGTTATACATCAGCCGATACTCAAAGCTGCCAGCTACCTTCACCACTTGCTCCCTCAGCTCCTTGGTGACGTGTCTGCCGCCGCTGGTGTGAAGGCCATTGTCGAGGATGTTATTTCCGAGGCATTTCATGCTGTGCGGCAGGTCCAAAAGCACCCACATCTGCCTGGAGAAAAAAGAACATGTTATTTCATTCCAATAGCGATTTGTTGCCAACATCACCTTCTACGCTGCGGAATAAAATAACACGAAAATGAAAACCAAATGTCACTGAATTTCGTTACATCACATGAGTATTTCGCCTGGAGCACACATTCACTTTGCGACCATTTCATACACAATTATCAAAATCACACATAATCATTAGACCGTTATCAAATAGCTGGAAATATTGCAGTCTTGCTCTTGTAATAAGATATTAATCTGAAAACGAATTACCAGCATTAGCATAATGATTGGGTTTGTGTGCATTGCCCGTGTACAACGGTAAGGAGTACGATCACGGCAGTAGGTTTCCTGACGTGACAGGAGTAAATGACAATTTTTGACGCTTGGCTCTTGTAGCACACCTGCGGCTGTCGGCTGGGTTCGCAAAGGACATTCCCCGTTGTAACGGATGCTCAGCTCCTTCCAGAGTCCCCGGTTAGAGTCGCCCTGGTCGCAAACGGTCGCGACGACGCAAGCGCCGGCTGCCTCCGCTGCGGTGATGGTAGACCTCAACATCTCCTTCGTGACGGCACGATCAAAGCAGACCAGGAAGGGAAGCTTCCAAGAAGCAAAGATTCCGGCCAGCACAATGACCTGCAGGTGGTGGAACGGCCCCAGCACCTGGTCCCGTCCGTGGTCGTATGCTGCCTGGCTCATGACGTCCATCTCGTCGAACATGACCACACGCTGGCGGTACATCCCCGGCTGATTGGCCATCATCTTCTGGAGTAGCTGAGCCTGTTGCTGACAGGAGACAGGTGCCCGACAGAAGTCAGACAGCCACGACTGTAGCGAAGAAAGGCCAGACAGCGGGCGACCCTGACTCCGAAGCCACTCGTAGGTCTTCCGCGATGTGTTGCAGCGGTACTGCAGCGCCTTCAGGATAGTCGGTTCGTCCCAAGGGCATGGGCGGATCCCGGTGACCAAAACCGCGCCTGAAAAAGGGCAGACCATATGAAATTCACAGCAAATTCCATTACGACATGCACCGCAGGCTGAAAAAAAAATACCAACGCCAACAACAACCAGAAACTTTGCAACTACAGAGACCGGGTGTCCGAGAGGGAGGAAACTAACACGCTCCGACGGAAGCGAAAACGGGCAATTGCTTGGTGCAAAGTAAGAGACGATAAGCACCGACAGCCACGCCCTATTCGTTCCTGAGTCCGGAGCTAGTAATCACGTGAGAGAGATGGTCAGTCATCCTTAAATTGCGTGCCCATCTGTTCGTCGGTAAACAATCCGGACGCAATACCCGCACTAGGCGCCGCGCGCTGGTAATCCGGCTCAGCGGTCTCGTCCCTTGGTTCCGAACACGAGCAGAAGGTCGCTGATCTTGTAGACGTCCCGGAAAGAGGTGTACACAGCGTTAGTTCCGTATATTAGACAACGGTAAGTCACACGTTACCTAATCTAGTCATCTGAGCCGTCATCTGAGTTCATTTTAGCCATTGTGGTGATTAGGACAATGCAATTTTTCTTACTTTGATGTAAGACGTACTTTAAACAACTTGAGCTGTTTTAGTTTTATGTTCGCACCTCAAAATACGGTAAGTCCCGGCGTCGCTTCTCGCTTTGGGCGGGCTTTCGGTCAAAAGGACAGACTTACCTAGCTGACTCAGACACATTCTTCGCTGCTGACCAAGCCTTGGACTCCTCTCGCTGCCTGATGTCCCTGAAATATCATCATTCTTAATGGTGCTAGGTGCAAAATCTGTGTCTTTTGTTTCACTCACGTATTCATCTTTACAGCTCAGATCCGTAAAACATGACTTCCGCTTTGAAATATGAGGTTTCAGATGTGACAATACAAACTGCAATATAACAAGGTGTTGCCACCATAACATGCCCTTCATAAGCTATAAGTACCTGCTCATCATAACTCATGCCATAGGAATATGGAATGCTGCTGATTGAAGCACATCAAGGATGTAATCTAGGACAACAAAGAAACCACCTAACGCGCGCTCGGGTCGGCTAGATACCCTTCTGGCCGGCTAGACCAGTGTTCTAGAATTGCCGACTTTTGGGTGTAAAGAACACCCTATGAGGAGGAATTTTTCACTTCTTTTCCCCATATTTTATGTGAAGTTTTCACTTCTGCCTAACATTATCTGATCGCACATGCCAAGCCCCTATTTCCCTTTCTGAGGTTTTCAGAT